GCACAACTTTTGAGTAGGGTGCACCACAAATGCTCCTATGCCACAGTCATCGATAGAAAACAAGTAACGTCGCTTCAAGGAAACTATGTCGATGAAGGTAAGACAGTTGCCACCCAACCACACCAAAGAAGATTCATCGCCCGCATCCAAGTGGTATACATTGCCCCGTTTCGAGGTGTCCAATCCAAATATGTGATACAACTCGTGCATTGATCGATTGGCGCGTTACGCTGCAACGTTGCGCTCGAAAGATATGTAATTGTTAGCGAATTAAATAAGGGCCCCGGGAGCAACCATAGTGCGCGCAGCGAGATAGTGAACTCCGGGACAGGGAGGCAGCCTAATGGGGCTGCCCTGCTGTCCGAGGGTGGACTATCGAGGCTGCGCAGTGGTGGCACACCGGCGCCTCTGTTATCCTTTGAGGGAGGTTAGCGGCGCCCTCTGTGGAGGAATTGCTGTAGCTTAGTGGCCCGCTACAGTACTAGCATGATGGTAGTAGGGTAGTGGTAGTGTAGCGTACTGTACTACAGTATAGTCATGGAGATATGGAGGTAGAGAGAGAGAGAGAGAGAGAGACATCAAGGTCAGTCTATATTCTTTGCACACCCAGCTCCTAATCCAACTATATCATCCTATATCTTGTATCATTCCTTAATATGTGCAGGTGATATAGCCGCCAGGATATATCAGCCAGGATATTCACTGACAGGCAGGATACAGAGGAGAGAGACAGAAGATATATCTCGTACTCGAGTACGAGTATCGTCTGTCGCTGACATCCCCTCCTATTATTGTGCGCCTGAGCGCACCCCAGGAAAACCTTCTCCTATCCAGCCGGCCCTATTCTTTTCCTGGGGGTCCTAGAGTAGGCTAGTCCCCGAGCTGGGTGGAGCCCATGTTTCTTGTATCATTCCTTAATATCTACGCGATTGCTCATGATCGAAGAAAGCCAGACCGTCGGAACAGCTATATTGACACGCATGCAAGCTTCATCGCTATTTGGAGACTTCGACATGTTTGGTTGGGCAGAGACGCCAGAAGAAGAGAAAGATAGGGAGGTAGCAAGGCTCGAAGCGTCGATGGAAGCGACCCGACGGAAACTACGTGAAACGCATGATCGACAGGGACAGACTTCTTCGTCAGGGTGAGTAATCGCCAACCCTTCCGATGCCAGACGAGCGAGAACTTCGTAGGCAGAATAGTCTCACATTACCAGCCCCACCATCACGGGATGATGAAACAAACGTAGGATTGATTCGGCAGTGCCTACCATGGACGCCGGAATCGGCAGCCAAAGATAATTATTCCCAACGGGAGGGCGAAACTGTTGACGACACGCGCGCCCGTTGTCAAAGACGTGTTGCTGAACTTGCTGAGGAATTGGAGATGCTTAAAGAGGTACTAGCTTGTTCAGAGATCGAAAACGTTGAGCGAATTGCGGCGCAACTACATGAGGCAAAGAAGGAGGCCGACAGAACGGCGGGTGAAGCCGCAGCGGCGGTCGCAGTAGCACAGGGTGCAGCTGAGCGAGTAACGGCTCTCGCTATCGATCTTGAGCATGCAAAAGCCGAAGCGGACTCATTCGCCCTCATCGCAGAGCTAGAGGCTGCCAAAGAGGATGCAGACAATGCTGCAGAATATTGGTCCTATCCCACAGATGCCGGAGATTGCCGAGTCTATTGTGATGGTGAGACATCGTCCCTTCAACCAAAAGGTGACTCCGCAGGAATGCAACACATTTGTTCCACCCTTCCGACGATATCCTCCGCCAATGTCAGTATAGTAGAAGATATCGATCTTTCAAGTAGCAAGCCGGAGAGCAAGGATGAACCCAAGAAGTTTGATAGCTTGCCTCAGATGTTGGTCTCTCCAACTAGCACAGTTATGAAGGAAGGGTCAGTAGACAATTGGGGTGCTGGATGTTACCTGGTCTTCGAAGACCAGAACCAAGGTACATTGACAGCTACCTGGTCACGAACGACACCAGCGTGATGAGCGTGTCCTTTGCTCGCGCCGTGCGCCTCTCGACACTCATCGATTGTAGGTCGAACCAGATTCTTGCTTATATCCGCCCTGGGAAGAAGGTCGCCGACTTCAAGTACAAAGGCGGAGGTCGCCAGGAACTCAAGCGTGGCATTGGTGGGGCCGGACCCAAATCAAAGTGTGCGGCATGGATTGATTTTGTGAAGATTGCGCAAGCTTTTGTTGGTGAAATCTTCATCATTGACAAGAATGGTGTTTTGCTCGTCCTTCATCACAGGACAGAATCGGTTAGTAAGATTCAGCAGGGTAATTCTGGCATCTTCGATGATGTCATAGCCTGTGCTGCGATTCCCGACCTCTCGCGTTCATTCGATGTTGGCAAGATGCCCTCGCATATGTTCAGCGGCAAAGGCCAAATGGAAGGTGCCGTGATCGTATTCAAGTGAACTCAGCCCGCTTTTGTGTTTAAACCTGGTCGTGGGTTTGGAAATTATTATTTGCCAAAAATCATTATGGAGCGAGTCGGTATTTCCGGGCGGTCAGAGGGCGCCTGCAGGAGCACACACCGCGCAGGGGCAGCTGCGGGAGTTACGTGGACTGGCCTAAGTTGAGATAGTCAGTATATAGTCCTTGGGCACACGCAGCCCACTTTGCCGAAGGATGTCGGGTACCGTACGATCCTAGGGAGATAGAGAGTTTTGTATTTCCCTAGTGGCTCGCTGGTACAGAGCCACCCAATATCCTTTCCCTTCCTTAATACTTTCTAACCCTGTTATAGTCGCGCCCCGCACTGTAAAAGCACCCGACGGTAGAAATTTGAGGGGGGTCAGTGGCGCCCTCGGCGCCCTCGGCGCCCTCGGGACGAGGGCGCCGCCCCCTCGGCCGACGCCCTCGGACCCTCGGACGGCGGATCGGCGCCCTCGGACGAGGACTCGGCCGTCGGACGAGCGCACGGCCGTCGGACGAGCGCACGTCCATCGGACGAGGGCGGCGAACCGTTGGTGACCCCCGGGCGCTGGATGTCCGGGCTGCATGATTGATGACAGGCTTTGCACCCGCGCCGCTCAGCGAATACGCGGAGATGCGCAACGATCTCAGTGGCTGCATGGGCCGCATCCTGACGGACGACGCGCCGGTGAAAACGGGACGTCCAGGCGATGGCGTCGGGGAACAGGCGGGCGATTCTCAGAGGCTCGGGTGGGGCGCGCTCGACGCCTCCCAACCCATCGACTCGTTTCGAGTCACTGCAGCATCGGGAATCGTTCGTCGTCACCCAGGCGTCGTCTCGGTACAAGGGCTGGGTCGTGAGACTCGAAATCGTCGAGTTCGTCCGGTCGGGGCTCGGGCGCCGCGGCGGTCCGACGGAGACTCCGTGATGATCCACGGCAGCACCAGCGTCAGCAGCCAGGAGAGATCATCCCTGGCCGCCCCCGGGCCACGCTCCATCATCGACTGGGGCGACTGCGCGGCCTAGGACCGACAGGACCTCGTGCCCGCGCCGACGTGTAGGCAGCCCACGGCGCCGCGAGGGGAAAGCGCCGCACGGCCGCCGCTCTTGGCTGCGCCCCGTCTCGGGGACCGTCGCGACCGTGGGCGTCAATGCCGGCACCCACGGCGCGCCCAGGGACGCCCAAGGGCTGCGCCTTTGGGCTGCCGCCCCCCCTCATAACCTTAAAACGACGGATGGCCGAAGGGCTGCTGATCGGCCGGGCGTGCCTTGGCCAATCAGCGGCCGTCGGCGCCCTCGGCGCCCTCGGCCCTTTCGGACCCTCGGACGCTCGGCTCCCTCGGACGAGGGGAAAATCCCTCAGCCGAGGGCGTCGGCCGAGGGGGCGGCGCCCTCGTCCCGAGGGCGCCGAGGGCGCCGAGGGCGCCACCGACCCCCCTCAAGTAGAAATGGTGGTTTTAGGCATAGCATAGCCTGGGCACGCTTGCGGCCCAAACTGACGGCGCCAGGCGGCTCCACGCTGCACCGGCGTCCAGTCCGACCAGCCCGGGGCCTAGAGGCGCCAAGGGCAGCGAAGGATCGCACGCCTGCGCGCACTTGGCGGCGCATACGAGGGTCAAAATAGACGTGCTTCCGGACGACATCGCCTGGAAGGCGTCCGTGCGAGCCTCGGAGGAGCCCTTTGAGCGCCGCGCGCGCCGCTCTGTGCCAGTGGGTATCATGATCGCTGAGGTGGCTGCGCCATCCAAGCGCGGTCTGTCGGCCTTCATTCCGGCACTCTTAATTCAATCGAGCTCAGCCCCCCCTTGAGGGGGGAGTTTACCTTGTTTCCTTTAGCTTCAGGCTAGTGGGAGATACGAAAGGCCAAGTGGACGGAAACGGATCGGGGAAGTCGGTTTTTGTTTACCACAGTAACAAACTTACACAATTGTTATTGTAGAATGGTGTTGCACCAAGGTCGTCGTGCACTTGTTGTCGTGATATATATGCGACGCTTCGGCGCGACCGCCCTGTGGGCCGAAGCACTTGCTCAGGGGCGAACTTACACAATGACTATCCATGGATGCCAGATGCAGGAATACTCCATGAGCAACCTTGAGGTACGCCCCCTCTTTGGTGCCAATCATGACAAGTTAAGAAAATTACAGACAATAATTGATTCTCAGAGGTCGGTATGGGAAGATCTTGGAGCGGCGCGCCCTTGGTGGTCCGTACTTTCCGCCGAGGAATACGACAGAAAACTTAATCTTAGCGAGTCTCCCTTTTTTATTTTGGGTCAACAAGACAGTGATGTCAACGATATCTTAGGCGACCCAGAGGCTGAAACTTTCTACCACAGTGGCGAAATAGCAATAATGCGCGCTCTTCATCACGTTGATGATGTTGCAACGCGAGGCGGACTAGCCTGGGGTGGCGGTGGAGTTGGAAACGTGGCACACACGGCGTTTTCTAGGACTTGTGCTATCTTTTGGCAATGTGATACTTAGGTTGCGGTAGATTTTGGTTGCGGAGTTGGTCGCCTTTCCAAAGCTCTCGCGAGGCGTTTCCAGTCTGTCAGTGCACCCCTGCGGTCAACTGTTCCAATGTGTGGCTCCAGGTTCTTTGCGTAGATCATTCAGTGCTTCACCTCGATGTGATATTGATATTATACCTACCTTCCCAGGAGACTCTCGATTATTAGGTCGCACGGAGAACTATAAATCAGCGGTTCCCGGCACTAGCAAGACGCATCCTAGTGGTCCCGACCACTTCAGTAGCTACTTAGAGCCTCATCAAACATGTTTTTGTTTTAGATTTGTTGCCTTGCAGGCAGGACTAGAATTTGTTACGAGTGTTGATGGCGTGGGCATTGACTTTGCCCTTTCTCTGCTCACGTTACAACACATGATTCCGCAGTTGCAGATCGCCGTCATCGAACACCTGTGCGATGCTCTTGCTCCTAGCGGTCTGGGATTCATTCAGCTCCTCACAGGTCTTGACACCAGTGCACTCGTGACTTCCGCTTCAAAGCCCTCGTGAATCCAGGTTATTACCCTTCGCCTTATATCGACGCCGATTGTAACCCCGCGTCAAAAGTCTGTGTGAATGAGAAGTGAAAATTCAATCATGCCCATCTATGAGACATGCAGGCGAGCGCTGCTAGAGCCCGGCATGCAACTTCACTTTCTTCCTTTGACGGAGGCATATTATCACCTCCAACTTCGCGGCTGTTTCATACTAGAGGAACATCCCTGTGATGATCACGTCTTTGTCCCTGCACGGGCATCTACAGCCCATTGCCTTGTGTTTGCTAAGCTCACAGAAGAAAAGAATATGTTGTAATCGCTCAAGTAGCAGCCGAGCTTAGAAGCCACCACAAATGCACCTCTCCCTAGCGCCCTCGGATGTGACTTCTCCGACTATCAGCCTAATTGGAACCCGCCGACCACTAGCGCGGACGAGGGCGCGGAAACAACCAAGGCGGCCCCGACCCCGGACAATCAACCAGTTCAGCTGACCAACTCCCACGGCTAGCTCATTCAATAAAGCTGCCCGATTACTGCATGCCATGGGGTCAGTCAATGCAGCTGGGCGCGCGCGGTCACTGTTGGGTTTCAGACCTCGCAAGCCGAACCCGACAACCACCGACAATAGCACCTCACCCCCTCGGCGACAGTACGAAGGCCGTGCTGGTTAGAATCTCGAGTTTCGACCACTTCGAGCTGGCAATATGCGAACGCGGGAAATTCGACGCTTTCTAGTTTGGACCCCACCCGGCCCCCCGGCGCCTGAGTAAAGCCCCCAGCCGCCGACCCTAAATTGTCGGGGGTGTTTCGGGTCCCTTGGGGTCCCCTCCAGCGCAGGGGGGGTAATTGCAGGGGGGGGGGGCGCCGCCGGCGGCGGCCCCGGGGCCCCGGGCCTACTAGAACAAACTAGAACGGTTCTAGTTCCAGTATACGGCTCCGGGTGCCCGGAGTTTCTAGCCACGATGCGAGACACAGTACCG